GTCATATCATATCATTTGGTGTCGGGTCATTTCATATCATTTGGTATCGGGTCATATCATATCATTTGGTATCAGGTCATATTATATCATTTGGTATCGGGTCATATCATATTTGGTATCGGGTCATATCATATCATCTGGTGACGGGTCATATCATATCATTTGGAATCGGGTCATATCATATCATTTGGTATCGGGTCATATCATATCATTTGGTATCGGGTCATTTCATATCATTTGGTATCGGGTCATATCATATCATTTGGTATCAGGTCATATTATATCATTTGGTATCGGGTCATATCATATTTGGTATCGGGTCATATCATATCATCTGGTGACGGGTCATATCATATCATTTGGTACAAGGTAGTGTTGTGTCTCCACAATACCCGATTCATCACAGTAGATTAGAGAATCTAGACGTAGTTAGAGAGAGAGAGAGACTTACCATCTCGCTCTGTCCTGGGGAGCCAGGGGGTCCGGGGACACCATTAGTTCCATCAGGACCGGAATCTCCCTGGGGGTAAGATTAATAGCTACTTGAAGCTGGGATATAGTCTAGCTGTCAATTTACCACCGAAAGACGGAAAAGACTATAAAAAGAAAAATTGAGGTTCTTTGAACGAAGAGCAAGTATTTTGTTCGGAATTCATGACGGTAGGGCAAAGCACGTTCACCAATTTTGTAAACAACTAGTGTCCTCATTTAAACTTTTCGTGAGTTTATTGGAATTTATTGATCCTATTGTGTGTACTATAGTTCTTTTTTCACCACTGACGCATTATTTTTTCAAATGTATTTCACGTTTGTTTGTAGGAAATATTCCTGCCATGTCTAAAGAAAACAGTCAGATTAGGGTTTGCATTTTCAGAAAGGAGTTTCCAACTAATACTCACAGCCTCTCCCTTTGGACCTTGTGGGCCTCGTTCTCCATCCTCACCAGGCAGTCCCTGAAATAGCAATGACAAATATCTAATCCATGCATACAACAAACAAACACAACAACTACTTACATTATTGTTACTTAACATTGAAAGTGCCTTAAAGTTTAGAATTTATCACTAAAACTGAACGCAGAGAATAAGGACCACGAGTAATTTTTTCGGTTATAATTAGAGGTGATGATGACTTACGGTGACGGCAGCCATGACCCTCATCTTTTTCTGCAAAGGAAAAAAACCACCATAAAATATCAACGCTATCACGGAAACAAACGTGACAAGTGAAATCTTCAAAGTGAAAAAACCACCAGATAATATTTAGATAAGATTGAATTATTATTTTGCTGCTTGAAGCATGTTTACATATAGGTGAATAAACGTCCTTATAACGTTAGTCTGTCACAACGTATTTATTTTGACGTTATATGTTGTGAAGCCTAAGTTTAGTGTTTTATATAAACCTACCTCCTCTGCGGTGAGGGCGGAGGCTGAAAGAGTGAAAACATTAAACATTAAAACACATTTTATACGTGCACCATCCCAAACATATACATCGCATTTTATACGTACACCATCCCTATGTAGCCCTACCGAGGATTTTAAACTGAGCTTAGAAAAATAAACTAGATCATAGTATTACTAACTTAAAAAACTGCATGAGCAACGACTTCATATTCAATAATTGAATGTATAGCGGTATCTGTAACTATGATATACTGTTTGGAAGGGTACACTCGTTTTAATACATTTAAGTTTAAGTTTCAGTTGATTGTATGAAAGAACTACGGGGACATGTTGATGAATTTACAGAAACAAATACATAGTTATTGTTAGGACTAATATATATGTTGCAATGTAAACCAGGAACTCCACACAATATCTGAGAGTTATTTTTTCAACATAGTTATATCAATAACGTCAGTATACATCGTCACGGAAACACATTCTTAAAAGATTATTCTCAGCACAAGAACTTCACACATGCGCAGGACACAAGATTTTAGCATCGGCACCTGATTTTAAACAGTCTTAAACTCTTCTAATGTGTCATTGACCATCACATCTGTATGTGAAATAATGGTATAGGGGACAAAATATACCATCAGCTGAAGTTCGTTGTACTTACCGTAACCGTCACAGTCGGCAAGGAAGGAACAGAGAGCCTCGCCATTGTCGCAAAGACATTCAAAACATTTGTCCTCATTATTTGGCAGCCATACTGCTCCGTTCTCGTACTGAATTCCTAGATATGTGCACCCTGCAAATAAATGGATGTACGTTAGTTGCAAATATAAGAGATAACCGAGTGCTGTGGGAGAGAATCAAGAGCAACTTGAACTGGGTAAATTATTTCTTGAACAAAGCGACATTTGACCAAAACTATTGTTATACTTCCTACGGGATTCTGCGAATGTATTACACTGGCAGTGTCAAGGTCAGGTAAAAATGGCAAAAGGTTCCAGAAAGCAATATATTATATTGGAGTTTGTTAAGTCTTGTAATGTAGGAGCTACGGCAGTACGACGTTGGGGTTAATATTGCTTCGAGGAAAGGACCTCAGTCCAGGCTTCACAAACTTTATGTGAATTTTGTAAATAAAAAAAAAAGTGTTTCTATTGTTTTGAACACTTAGTTATTAGCAGTATTTTTTCTTCAACAAAATAAACGTTAACAGTTAACCGCCTGGTCCCATCACAGCGCGTCACAACTTTAGTGGGACGGCCTCAGTTAAGAAAGTTATCAAGCAAGGTATCAGGTTTGCTGAGATTCTTGTAAGAGGCAGTAGGGGCGGTCGGGTAGCCTAGTGGTTATAGCGTTCGCTCGTCACGCTAAAGACCCGGGTTCGATTCCCGACATGGGTACAATGTGTGAATCCCATTTCTTGTGTCCCCGCCGTGATATTGCTGGAATATTGCTAAAAGCGGCGTAAAACTATACTCACGATCTCTGTGTGTAAGAGGCAGTGGCATTATACACAATGAGACTCTTGTGTTCCCTAACCTTGCAGAAACTCCACCAAAATAAGAGAATATTGCCGAAAATGACAATACAATTCATTTTTAGAATGATTGTTTGAAAAGAGGGCATGTTGTGAAGTAGGTTTCGACACCGATGAATGCATGCTTCAATACGATAATAAATGTAAGCCATTTCTGTCATTATGGTCAATACCAATCACTATTTATCACCCGTTATCGTTAGTATGGCTATGGAGGGGTCATTTAACTGCAAATGATCAAGGAATGTTTGATTATCACGAAAGTGTTCAAGAGAGACACCAACAATTCAGACGTTGCATCGTGTTTTAATATAAATCTTAATTACAGATATTGACACCTATAACCCTAAATGTTGATATAGCAAATGGAATATCGAAAGCTGAAAACCAATCGACAAATCTATTTTTAAGATTTAGTCTTGTTGAATTCGTAATTCTCTTTGGCCTCAACAAGTGAACTTTGCTTTGCATGTCACACATATTTGTACAAGGTGACTTGTATGTGCGATTGTTCAGCCAATGTTAAACGAAATGCATCCCATGTGAATGGAATTGTATTGTTGTATACAGAAGCATGTGTGATTGCAACCACATGTGGAGCTCTGACTTCAATTTGCATGTCTGGCCAGGAGTTAGGGAGTGGCAGGAATGTGGGTGGTGATAGAATTCTGGTTAAGTGTCTTAATGAGGGGTTAATATTCAAATAAGATTTTACTTTCTGCATACAGATGCGTATGTTCAAAATCTTATTCGTATGCTTAAATGTACTAGTATTACTCACAGTTTAATTCACTGACGAAGGTATCTCATGTTAAACTAAAATACGCGCATAATGAAATCTGAGACCATATTCCATTGAATGTATTTGTGATCAGGTACTTGTTACTTAATATGTTTTTACTACGAAAAGCTTTGTAATGCATGGGAGATAATGGTCAACGCAGGAGAAGCTGAACTTGTATGGCAAATTAAAAGAATGAACATAATGAATAAGTAAGTATGGTTTCACATCCCTGTCAATATTCCAGCAATAGTATGGCTGGGGACGCCACACATATTGCATGGGGGAATCGAACCCGGGTCTTTTGTGTTACGAGCGAATGTTTTAACCTCTTGGCTATCCGATCACCGGAATGTAGGTAGCCTATAATAGGCGGTTTGTAAGTGAGTGACTGGTGTTCTTTGACGTAAGTGAGTTAACCCCTCCATCACTGCACATGGATCAGACAAACCATTGGCTGATGGTGTGAGCAATGATCTACGTCGATTGTTTAACGATGCCAAATGCCAGACAATGGTTTGGAGATTGTCTTCTTTTGCACCAAACAAAGTCACCAGATTCTCAATTAGCTCGTTTCTTGGGGCAAGGGGGATGTTTCAGCTCTTGAATCAGAACGAGATCCATAGTCATCTTTTTTATGACATTTTGCTTTCTAAATATGAATATCGATTGATATGAATATACATAGATGAAAATCAGTTGACGATGACAGGCAAATCTAGCTATCCCAATTCAGATAGCATGTGGTGCAGAATGATGATACCAAATACCATTCTACCCAAATACCCTAGCAAATGACTAACATGACATGTTTATTGCAAAACACGAAGTCACATAAACATATCGTACCCACAAAGGTTATCAAAGCATACCTGTTTGGCATTAAAAACAGATGACCATTGTTGTATAGCAAAACAAACATCTTCCCTGAACACAAATCACGAAACAATTCGTAGGTATTTGTTTCACAGAGGGAATTGCTCTATGCTAACTTCTCAGTCATTTCTTTCGGCATGAACAGCAAAATGTGACAAAAGCGGTGAAAGATTGAATAAAAAGTAATCCACGGTTGAAATTTCGTTATATCAGAAAAAGGTTCACATAAGCAATGACGTTGATAATATATAACCTTTTGTTGGATATTGGTAATGCGTTGGGTTGGTGTTCAACCAGGGTTGACTTGGACGGGTTGACAGAGTTGACCTAGTTGATGGAGTTGCATATTTAGACAGTAGAATATGACTTTTACAAGACGTAGGCTATATAAATTTACATATATATTAAGTACACATTTGTTTTCAAATTAATCCAGCAGTGAAGAAACATTTTAGAGCTGTATGATCACAATTTGGTTCCGCAGTTAAGAAAGTGATATTCAATACCATATACCCCCAACCCTTACCGCGAGGAAAGCTCAGTAGCTAGCTTCAGAGCAAGAGGTAATTTGTATGAACACTCTATTTTAAAATAATGTCAAAAGAAATTAAAGCGATTGATGTCGTTATTTATTGGTTAACTGTCTTGTATAATATATCTGAGATATAATATCTGTTGTTGATATATAAATTGTAAATTATGATTACATATACATAAAAAGTAATGCTGTAATCAAGATAATATGTAATGCATATAAGTGCTGAGATGACGAAACAGGTGTAGAGGTTATCAATACCAATGCAACTGAGAACAGACTCATCAACTTCCAAGTTGAGATTCGCTGACAAAGAATTCCACGTTTACAATTGCTGACGTGGTGATACGTGGCAGCCATGTTGCTGACCCAGGCTGACCTAGATTTGGTGCCAAATGTCACGTGACATAATAATCTGTCATTGGTCGCCGTTCAGCCATGCATGTCCGATCAACAGGTGGACATTACCGTCACGAAAAAAATACAAAGATATAACAATAATTATTTCACCAAAATGTATCTCAGCGTAAAGGAAAGTGTGAATACATTTAGACACATTTCTTAATAACATCACACTTTCCATATCGCAGTCGCCATGCATGCACCATGGAACAAAGTAATAAAGGCATCAAACTGACAAATACGACAATACGCATGTTATATATATCATGTATATTATCATTTTGGATATGGAAAATGATGTGAAAATTCATCGGCATTGTACATGTGAATGTCATAATGTTTCAATCACATAAACACTGTCGCATTGTCACATACACAAATACACAGAGAATCAGAAACATATGTTAGCATCAAACTCAAAAACATGATACAATGTCAAATGAATGATATAATGCTCCTACCTCGATCTTTCTCCGGGGCGGCTGCGACTGTAACAACCAGAAGTACCACTACACAGACACACTCCTGAAGGCGCATGGTTACGCCAATCTATAGTCCCTTCCCACACGTAAAACTGTTAAACCATCCAAACTAATAAATAGGTGGAATTGGTTGCTTTCTTTGGGTAAGAAGCCGAAACGGCTTCTTTTTAACTAGGAAGAGCCGAGCTAGCAAGCGTTACCGCCTGCAACAACGGGTTCCTAGGACAATTTATAATTTCTGGCGTGCAGCCTTCCAGGACTGCGACCAGAGTCTTTTGAATATGCTCGAGTTTTAATATACCCTAAGAAAAAAGTTAACCAATCAGGACTCCAGGATACGTCGAGCTCTGACCCCCAAACTGACTATGAGCCAGGCCTGCCTCCCTTTTTGAAAGCTCCGTGCAGTGTACCTCACAGCGTTGTAACCCTACCCCCCTCGTTAAGTGCCCGGTTCCAAATGCTTGTACAGTCAGCTGGCGAGCTCATCAATTTCAACCACTGGAGCCTTTGACCTCTCTCTGACCACCATTTTAACACAAAACCAAGAGCAAAAGATGGATGCATTTCATTTTCGTACTTTTAACTCTTTGCGAAATATCAGTGCAACAAATTGTGATGTTTTTAAATACATTACTTGCATGCTAATTTAATCAAGTATTTTATCTAGGCGTTCATTGTTGAGTAAGCAACGCATATTAAAAGACATTATCATATTATTGTCCATATTAAGCTCGGTTTTGAAAACAAAAACTACCATATCAGAATCAGATAAATATATTTACATGATATACTGTAAATTGTGTAAGTATCGTGTGAGGTTTTAATGAAAATATGTGCCAAAGTGATGCAAAAGAACGTGGTTTGTTGACCTAATAAAATGTACTAACATCAAACAAAATCGTGAGGGTACAAAAAAGTATGTCACGTTTTGACTGACAGGTAAGCAAATGTTCGGCCATTAACCCCTGCGCGTTATTTTCCCTTACAGATGTGTTGGATCTGCTGAGTCGTCAATTTTTCACCATTTGTGATAATTTGACACCACTACAAGAATCTCAGTTATCACTGTCAGCATTGCAGATAAAGTTAGTGTAAACGGAGAACACATGATCCCCGGTCTTAGAACTGTCTGACCTTCAGATTCTAAATTTTAAACATTTCTGCATACTTGACAATTAAAAGCGCATAAACAAACTTCACCCTACAATGCCACCTACTACAGTAAAATATTATTTCTCTCTAATTTGGCAAAATAGGCTTTATTTGAGAGATTAGAAACATTATCGACTAGTATGAACTGCACGAAATATGCCCCTCCCCCTTGTCCCAGATCGAAAGAATACATATACATACGACATATGAGAACTTGAGTCTTTAATTAGAAGCACGTGTATGTCTATTCATAGAAAAAAACTGCAAATTAGGTTTCTAACCTTGTTGATAACGAAAGCAAAATGTTTGTCTAATACGAAAGCAATGCTCTTTTCTTTAATCTGCTGAATGTGGTGTCTTTCAGAAGTGTGTAACCCTCTAAAATGATACAATGGTTGCAACTTTTCCCTGACGAAGAAAAAATAACAGAGGATAAAGTCTAGACAGATGCTTACGCGACAACATTGTTATCGCAAAGTACTAATTAAACAAAATGCAAGTTCTTGTGAATATGGAAAGTGTTTTGTGGTTATTATGTAGGTGAAGTGTTCAAAACTACCTTCATTGTGTTATTATCAATGTTCATAACAGTTCAGAAACAGAGAGAGAGAGAGAGAGAGAGAGAGAGAGAGAGAGAGAGAGAGAGAGAGAGAGAGAGAGAGAGAGAGAGAGAGAGAGAGAGAGTTTTAGGTTAACTTTATTTTGCAAATACAAATGAATTGTCTCGAGATACAACAGAGAGTCAATTATTGTCTCGTTCTTACCACAGGATAATTGTAAATTATATGCATGCACAGCACAAGATTTTATATTATAAGCAGTCATATGTACATAACATGTGTTAATTAACAACTTTATCTAAATTATGATACTGAACACAGAATTACAGTCGGCGCTATAAATGTGCATGTTTAAGGTAATTAGAGAAATACACCGGAAAATGAATTCAAGAAATATTTTTTCGCGAAGATTAACTGTTTCAAGGCAACAAATACAAAAACAAATCGCTAAAATATCAAATTTATGAAATGCAATCATTAAAGTATAAAAAAATCAAAATTATAATTTGACACTGTTTTCGCAGTCAAGTGGTCACGAACTCGAAATCCCAACGCCATAACAAGAAATTCGCGAAACGGCGTGGCCCATACAGGCACCGTAGACACTTTGTCACAGCGCGTTGAAATCCTCGACCCCAAGAACGAAGAACCACAGTCTCACGATAAGCGAATGCCGGGAAGCCTGTTGATGTTGTTATCGGCGGTCATCTTTCTAAGACAGAGGGTCAGCGTTTATCGGGGGGAAAAGAAACTCAGGGTGCCATTGTTTGCACGTGTCACGCTCAAAAGCCAATTATACGCATAAACACTAGGTCTGTTCCCCACGTTTTGTTCAAACTTAAGATACCTACTTTGAACTTCTTATTTTTCTGAGTTTGTTTTCTTTCCGTGCTTTACAATATGCAGAAGAAAGGCAAGACGTTTTGGTTTCCATGTAATAAATAGTGAGAGTTTACGATGACCTTGTCCAAGCCATGGTAATAATGTCAAGGTTGTGGTGTTGGCTTCATTTGTTTAGTAGCCCAGTCACAATGAAACAGCATTATTGTTGAAACGCCAGACAGTTCAGAAACATAATATAATAATGCGATATTATTAGAAACCCAGAATAAATACACTACCAATGTAGCTGATATTAATGTTTATCAATTAAATTGAAAGTTCCGTGGAGAATCCTGGGTACATATATGCTTTCAGTACATGCTAATCTGGAAAAGAACTTTGGCCACTACAGCCATCACACATTGGATAGTTACCAGGGCAATTCCTCAGATGAATATTGCAAAGTTGCAGAATATATTATTCCACGAAATACTCCATTGAATACTCAAGGTCTCTCACAATGTCAGGAACAGGTGACCACAATGATTCCCGTGGAATGATTCAATGTTATCAAATTTGAAAATCATTTTCCGATCTATAACTAAATGCAAATTCCCATTCCCTGATCGTAATTGAACGAGTGACTACAATCAGATGTCCGCAGTAGGAAATTACTTATAAAGAATAAATAATGAACAAAAGAAAACCTCACTTAAATATATTTCTCAGAGGTGGTCTGGCCCGACGTTATAAAAACAATTTCATGCTCAACTCAGTTTCATCCTCAAATTCAATATGTTATACAACATGTGTTCATATTCCTCATTAACAGTATTTGCAATTACGGAAGTCAATCTCTGTGGTGGATGCCCCAAAGGACGTACATGTGCGGCATCTGTGGAGATTTTATGAAGGGTCATATATGTTTTGCATTATCTGAAGAAGGAACTTATGGAGGGAGCCTGCTGTTTGATATATTCACCCTAAGATGGTAATAAATGAGATACAAAGTGCCACCAAAATCCCAACAAGTTCCGGTATAAATGTTCCTCCTACTGACATGATATATGTATGATAACCCATGGATAGTTTTCTTTCTACTCAAAATGGAAGCGTTGACCTTGCCCGTTTATGTATTGGCCGATTGCGACAAAGAAGTGCAAAGTAATTCTTCTTTATTTCTCTACTAATGTTATTGGCATACAGTAAGTCACTCCAAAATTCTTGATTATGAGAAATGTATGATTCGTCTTAAATTTCGAAGATGTGTCAAGTTATTCTATCCAGGACATTCTTGAAAATGTTCTACTTGTAATTCGTTCTACATTTGCAAAATGTTCATGGGAATACAATCTGCATCTCCTCTCAAGATCTTAAAATTGAAATATTTCTGTTACATCGTGTTCATCAAAGTTTATAAATTTTCTTTTCAGCAAGTCATGCTCATGCTTTGTACCCTGCCCCCGGTGGAGGTTTATGTTCATTAAACCTTCTTCTTCAAGGTCCTAACGATTTTTATAAGGATTTATAAAAACGTGTTAATAATGCGGTCTTGCTCGTACAATCGTCTCTGCCAAAAGCAAAGATTTCTTGTGAATATTGAAAGCGTTTTGTCGCTTGGATTATCAGTTTGATCGTCAAAGGTAAAAGAAAAATGCATCAATTAGCACGGCGAGGTGTGAGGTTGTGTTAAGTGTGCCACGCCTGTTGCTGATGAGACTATTTGCAAGAGAACCAGTAGGAGATGGTGACGATGCAATTTGACGGTGCCCTCCACGTGGTGTCATCATAGGCCAGCAGTACCACCTCACGATTCTCAGTGCAGCGACAAAAATAGATTTCAAATATTGCTGAGGGTTGCTATTCTCTTTAAAATGTGCTCTAAATAGTCATAAATCACCCTCCTCGTCTTGGGCTATCACGCTGGCTGTAATCGCTACGCCAGGGCTGCCCTGGAGAACATGGCGACACGAGTCGACATATTGCGACGCAAGTGTAAATATGTGCATAAGCAGAACTACTTGGTGTACACATGTACAAACACCCTGACATTTTAACTATTTATCGGGTTGTATTTTTAAACTTTCAAGACAGTTAATTACTGCTTCAAATGAAGTTATTAATTTTCTTTCATCGAGCTGGTGAAATAATAGGTTTTCACTTTTTAGGTACAATCGAGCATCGTCTCTCTACCAAAATGTTCAAAGAGCGTCATAAGACTCTTGCTCTGAAGTTGTTTGATCAAGGTTACAAAAATCAGTGCCTCAGTAAAGCTTTCAAAAAGTGTTATGGTAGACACGTGGAGGACATTTCCAACTTTGACGCATCAGTGACAAAAATGATGTCCGATGCAATAACATTCCCTAATTTGACTTGTACCTTATTTTCCCGTGTTGTTTTTCCGGTGAAGTTGACTTGCCTTTTCATGTGTTTGTGACGTGTACCACCGGTGAGGCAGGATACGCCCACCTTTTCCCGAACACTGGTATCATTACTATTTGATAGTGATTCATAAACACACTCTTTTGCCTGTTTATTGAATTGGTCAACGAACTAAATCAAACTGACTGTCGTGGAATATTTATCTCAGAAGAAGCACTAAATATTTGTTATTTATTATACGCCGATGATGTTGCCAACACTGCGGATACCACTGGAAGATTACAACAACTGATCAACTGTATAAGTGAATTTTGTAAAAAATGGGGACTGTCTCTAAATATGAACAAATCAAAGATAATCGTTTTTAGAAATGGTGGACGTTTAAGGAACTATGAAAATTGGACTTACAGAGAAGAAAAGATAGAGACTGTGTCATCTTATAAATATTTGGGAC